TTAGAAACCACAGCCCACACCAGAAGGCAATGTGTGTGTGTGTGTGTGTGTGTGTGTGTGTGTGTGTGTGTGTATGCACACATATACACATCAATACTGGTGCCTGAATTCAGTGTGTGGGCACTGTCCTTTATCATTTTTGCTCAAGGCTGGTGTGCTACCTATTGAGCCACAGCTCCACTTCCAGCTTTTTGGTGGCTAACTAGAGATGAGTCTTATGTACTTTCCTGTCTGAGCTGGTTTTGAACTGCATTCCTCAGAACTTAGCCTCCTGGATAGCTAGGAGTACAGGCATGAGCCACTAGCCCCTCGCTTCCAGAAGAGACTCTTGCCTGGAATCTGTCTGGGGCCCCTCTCCATTTCTAACATCCTGTTCTTGGCCTGTTTATGATGAAAATTCAGTTCCCCCTCAACCTCTGCAGCCAAGTCCCATCACATAGTTCTGGTGGGAGATATGTAGCTGATAGTTTGCAGGGTAGAGGGAGGGACTTCCTGTTCCCTTCCCAATCATTTCCTGCTTGGAACACCTGCCGGAAAGACAGGCACAGGAAAGATGCAGCTCATTCTCAGGGTGATACTCAGAAGGATGCAAAGAGCTGGACCTGTGGTGGCCTGACAGAGCATGTCTGAGCTGCCTGCCTCTGCACCTTCTGACTCTTACAGGAAATGAATCCCCATCTGTTCCTTGGCTGAAAGCTTCTATGTTCGGGACATACACAATTAAATGCATTCCCGAGACACTAAGCTAGCACTCATCTGGAACCATTCTCTCTGAAACTCTGTATCTAGATAGCTAGACCATTTTTTCTATATCTAGATATCTAGACTAATTTTTTTCCCTGCTCACATCTAGGACCACAGTAGCAGAATCGAACCAACTACATCATTATTAATCATGATCTTTTCATCAGTAATAATCACTTCCCCACATCCTCCTGAGGGCTAGGAATTTTGACCAAGTGATCTTATCCTCACAGGCAACAGATGCTATTATTACCCTTCTTTTCAGAGAAGGAAACTGAGGCTCAGAGATGACAGATGAGTTGCTCACGGTCACATGGCTAGAACCTAGGCTCTGGAAGCTAGGTCTGCTAGGCTCTAAAACCCTAGTACCTCATCTATGCCTCGTTCAACAGACGTATGTATTAAGTAGAGAAACTGAAGCCCAGATGGGAATCCAACTTGCTGATGGTCACATAGTAATTTGGGGGGGATCCCCATTCCAAGGTTCTTTCTATGACAGCCCATTGTATAGGTATAATGGTGACTGAAATCCAGGAGAAGGTCTGGAACAGCTGGAGCTGTTGAAGGCTCTAAGCAGAGTTAGAGTGATTCACATACTGCGGGAGGGTCCATGGAAATGGCCCCAGCAACCTCCTGAGCAATCACAATTTCTTATTTCTTCCTGGCTTCTCTGTCACAGGCTGCTGGGTCCCCTGATACCAAGAACTGATTACGCTGGTGGTGAAGACAGGGCTGGAGGACGCCAGTGGCGTGACTACTTGGCGATCCCCTGCCAATCAGATGACGCAAGCTGCCTTAGAAGTGAAGCCTGTAGGACCGGGGACCCGGCAATGGAAACTCCCCAGATGAACTTGGAGACTCCCCACTTTCCAACCTCCTGCTTGTTTATCTTTTTTCTTGGCCTGTCCCTGCCAGGATTTGGGTGTTTGTATTAAGGATCCAGGGTTGAGGATGCAGGAGAGGCAGTGATTGGGGTGTAGCAGGGAATTAAGCTCGTGATGTTGAAATTCAATGGACGAGGGCTAAGATCCCAGGGGCTCCATTATCTATGTCCTGTGGCCTTAAGCAGGTCAGTGACTTTCTCACTTACAGAAACAAGGAGCAGAAGGAAGTTGATCTCATGGGGCTGTTGCTAGTTTTAAAGGAGATGATGTGTGCTGCTTAGAAACGTCTCCAGCGGTGGGTGTAACTCCCCCTCACCCACCCATCACATCTTTTGAGCCTCAGTTTCTGGGGGACATCTTAGAAAACATCAAAGCTTCATTTTCTCTTTTACATTATGGAGATCATGGTAGTTGTGAACATTGCAATGAGAAAAGGATGCAAAAAAAATCTAATGATTCTCCTCTTAGTTTCTCAGTGCTAACAGTATGGCTTACCCTCACTTGACTCCCAGCCAATTCTCTCTTCTCCCTCCCTCCATCCATCCCTCCCTCCCTCTCCTCTCCTCCTCCTCCCCTCCTCTTCCCCCTCTTCCCTCCCTCTTCTTCCCCCTCTCTCCCCTCCCCTCCTTTCCCCCGCCCTCCCGCCCTTCCTTCCTTCCTTCCATTTTTTTTTTTTTTTTTGCCAGTCCTGGGGATTGAACTGTGGGCATGTGCACTGTTCCCGAGCCTCTTAAGCCACAGCACAACTTCCAGTCTTTTTCTGATTGATTTATTAGAGATAAGGGTCTCACAGACATTCCTGCCCAGGCTGGCTTCGAACCACGATCCTCAGATCTCAGCCTCCTGACTAGGTAGGATTACAGGTGTGAGTCGCTAGCGCTCGCCAATTTCTTACTTTATAAGGGGTCATGACAACGTTGGTTTTTCAGGGTTGTGGAGAAAGTTCCGTAGAAGTGGGCTTCCAAAACACACAGCCTCCTTCTTCTACCTGGTGCAGAGAGGATCTCACCTATCAAGACTCAAGAAATGTTAGCTATTCTTACTAATACCAGCAATGCTCAATGTGAGCCTGGAACTAACTGAATGGGTTCAGAGGAAAAGGTGGAGAACTTTTCATGGAACTTTTTTTTTTTTTTTTTGCTCCAGGAGGGGAGGGAAGGGAAGAGAGAGGAGAAATACTGAGCTCCCACTAGAGGCCAGGGATCTTCACGCAGACCACCTCATCTTGTCCTAACCATCAGTCTTAAAAGAATGGACTTCTTCACCTCATTTTACACACAGGGAAACCGAGGCTCGCAAAGGGCATTTGGGCTGCCTAAGAACCGCAGTGAGCTAGCGGTGGGCTTTGGGGCTGGGGTGTGAAGAGCTGTTGGAAGGTTTCTAGAGCTTCCTAGTATAGCTATAAATCTGCAGCAGAGGGAGGGTGGGGGAGCGCAGGAGTGAGTCAGGTAAGAGTCAGCTCAGGATTTCCAAAGCATGAATAAGGCTCAGATAGGTGAGAACCCCCCCAGGGCCATGCTGATCTAGTCCCAAGCTAGGATGGGCAAGAGATCATGTGATTGTTGAGGTGCAGGGGGTTGGAGAGCCTATAGAGAAGGAGACATTTCGCCACTGTCACCAATGGGACATAGAGAAGATGGATGGCTACATCCATTCTCCATGACTTCCGTCCTACACTGCATCCATTTGGTTTCTGCCCTCAATCTTCATCCCGTCCATCCTACGCCTGTATCCATGTCCGTGCATTCCTTCATTGCCTCCCTGCTTAGTTATCTCCCTCTTTTATTGCCTTCATCCCTCATTGCCTCCATCTTGAGATCTACAAGGTGGGTTCAGAGCTTGGCCATAGTGAGAGCTCCTTTGCTGGAACTGGACCTCTCCTCGAGGCCCATCCGATGTTATTATCTTATTGGCCAAATGGGACGCAGATGCCCAGAAAAGACTACAGATTTGTCCAATGCTACAATGTAGAAAACATGAGAATTGGACTCTTTTTTTTTTTTTAATTCTCACGCATCACGCATAAGTCACACAAGTCCACGCGGCAGGCTTGAGGGTGAGGTGTGGTGGAGGCACCAGGTGTGGTAACTCCACTGGGCAAGGTCCAAAGGAAGGAAAGCTTGGGAACCTTCGTTCAGCAGTTGGACCCCACATTACTACCGTGATCTTATCTTTTATCTTTTTTTGGCTGAAGATGTCATTGTCTTGTATCTCCTTGCCCTGATTGGTTACTTACAGGGAGGGGGCTGTGTCTGGGGTGGAGGGGAAGATGGAGGCTGTGATCAGTACTCTCAGGGTTTGGGTCCCTCCCTGGGTCTGCCCTGGCTTGCTCTGCTTTCCTAGGGTAGCTGGCATTTGTCCCAGTGGAGCATAGGAACAGCTCCGGGGATGGGGAGTGACACCCCAGTGAATCTCATTTCTTCCACCTGGTGTGGTTCTCACTCCCTATGCAGAGATGCCTGGGAATGTCTGGGCTCTTCTGCCGGTCACCCCACCCCGACTCAGGGTCCACAGGGGAAACAGAGGGAGACAACCTGGGGGATGGAGTCCAGGAGTCTCTGTGTGGCCTTGGCCTGATCCATTAACCCCTTCTTGGCTCAGCTTCCCTAGCTGGGAAAAAGAAAAGCCAGACTTTCGGATGTTGTAAAGGCAGTGGGTCATATGAGTCCATTTAGAGCATCAGATCTGGTCAGCTCTTGTTAACTGAGCACCTACTGTGTACGTATTATGCATATAGCTCACTAACTCTTCCCCAAACCATTTGGGATGGGTTTTTTGTTATTTCTAGCCACTTTATAGATGAGAATACTGAGGACCAGAGTGGACAAGCATCGTGTCCAGAGTGTCCCAGAGGGTAGGCTGTAGTGTCTGGATTTGAACTCAGGTCTCCTGGAATCCAGGGAGTGAAGTCTGGGCTCCCTGTGGTAGTGTGTATGCCATGCAGGAAACCATGCACAGGCCTTTCCTCCCTTGCCCTCTCAGGGCCAGTGGCTCAGACTGGCTGCTGGCAGCTTCAGTCCTGTACCCAAGCCCTGCGCTGCCCTCTGCTTTGTACCTGGTCTCTAAGCCTGTTTCCTCTCTAGCAAAAAGAGGAGGAGGAGGAGGAGGCTGCAGCATTTCTGGCATTCTCAAAAGGTTGAGTGCCTCAAAGATTTCGAGTGAAAGCCAGTCTTAGTGGTCATCATCCAATAATTAATAAAATGTCTTGGCTGCGGTGGGAGCAGAGGAAGTCAGCAGGGGGGGAGGTGACAGCTGGAGGGCGGGGCCCTGTGGGCGGGGCCCAGCCCGAGCTGGGACAGTGCAGGAGGCACCACACAGAGCAGCAGGCCTTCACATTACGCACCCAGCAGTCCAGCAGTCGTGCCGCAAGCCATGAGCCGTGAGTTCGACCCTCGGGGGGCCTCTGCGGGGCTTCCCGGTGAAGCCTTGAATGCCAGGCTCAGCTTCTGTCTCTCCTCTGCAGGGAGCAGTCTGTCTCTCCGGTTCCCGCTGCTCCTGCTCCTGCTGGCCCGCACCCCCTGTCCTGCCCGTGGATCCTGGGTCGCCCACACCAGGTAGGGGGCCTCCTGGATGCCCGCCTCAGGTCCCGCACCCCTGGCTTGGTCCCACTCCCTCCTCGCCCCTGCAGCCGGCCTAGCGCTTCCCCTTTCTGCAGAGCCCGAGATGGAGGAGGGAGGGTGAGTCTGGGGGTGTGACAGTGGCCTGTTGAGGGGTGGTGGTGGTAGTGATGGTGATCAGTTTGTTTCTTTCTTTGAGGGACTAGCAGACCCTCCTGGTGTGCTGGGCCCCTGGCTGTCCAGCCAGCTTCCTCACCCAGTAACCCCTCTGTTTCCTGTGGGGAGGGGGAGGGCTTCTTTGGGAGGAAGAGGCTGGGGCTGGGGGGCTGGGAGGGATAAGCACTGAGCCAGGGCTCAGTTTCCTTTCCCCAGCCTCCCTCAGGGAGAAGATAGGAGGGAGAAATACATTCGGAGTGGGGAGGGGAGGGGGGCGCTGGGCTGTTTTACCTGAGATTCAGAGGTCACCTGTGAGGTCCCCGTGGAGGAGACGGAGGCCCGGCAGGTACAGTGACATCCTCACCTTTATACTGTACATGGCGTAGTTAGGACTTGAACCCAGGGCTGACTGATTCCATGCACTTTAGCTACATGGTGGCCCAGAAGGCTCCCCACACTCCCTGCCTGCAGCGGGGCCTGAGCCCCTGGAGCTCCAGCAGAATGGGGAAAGCCAGGTCTCTCCGGTGCAGTTCCCATCTCCCAGCGGCGTCTACCAGGTTCCAGGAAGGAATGCACTCCTCCCCCAGCCAGCCTCCTCCCCCATTGCACGTGGGCACACACATGCGTGTGGCCACGGCTTCCCTCACCCCATGGCTGTGTGGCCCATGCCACCCACATACCTTGTGGGTATTGGGACTTGAACTCAGGTCCTTGAACTCTAGCTTTTCACTCAAGGCTGGCATGCTACCCTTGAGACACACCTCCACTTCAGACTTTTTGGGGATAAGAATCTCTTGGATTATCTGTCTGGGCTGTTTTTGAACTACCATTTTCAGTAGCTAGGATTATAGGCACCCGGTTCCATACCTCTTTGAATTCCCCATCTGTAGAATGGGACCCAAAAAGACTGGATGAGTGCTTTTTTTCCCCCCCTAGATGTTTTGGAGACTGAAAAGAGAAGAACATTATCTTATAGTGTCTATGCAGGTTGTGACTTATAGAAAAGGTTTTGCAGAGAAGGAAGGGTGTATGTGTATGCAGGACTATATGGTATGTGTGTGACTGTGTGCATTTGTGTGTGTGTGTGTGTGTGTGTGTGTGTGAGAGAGAGAGAGAGAGAGAGAGAGAGAGAGAGAGAGAGAGAGAGAGAGAGAGATCCCAGGGGAGGACTGAGGGGTCCTAGGAAAGAATTTGAGTTCAGCAAAAGTCTGCTTTGTGAGAAGAGAAGGAAGAAGACTTCTGCATCCTGCACCTAACAATTTATAAGGGTTTAACTGCTTAGCTGCTTAGAACAGCTCTGCCAGGGAGTGGTGTTAGACTCATTCAACAGGAGAGGACTTGGAGGCCCAAAGAGTGTGAATCTATCTGTCTGGACCACACAGTGGGCTGGTGGCAGAGTGGCTGCCTCGGTGACCTGCTCAGCACTCCACCAAGACCACCGCACTGCCCCTGGGCTCCTGAGTGCACAGGTCCTTCCACCTGCCTTCTGTGTCCTCCCTGCTTTCCTGTGTTTCCCCTGCCTTCCTTTGTTGCTTGTATCTCTCTTGTGTGGAAGGGGATAGAATCCAGCTTGGAAGGCAAGACTTAACACTCAGGTTTATCCATCCAGCCTCTGGGCTTGGCTTGGTGCCTTCTAGCTAGCTAAGGAAAAGGCAGGACCTAGTGACTCTGTGTGTGTGTGTGTGTGTGTGTGTGTGTGTGTGTGCGTGTGTGTGTGTTTTACCCTAAGTTTTTAAACAGAATTTTGTTTTTACCAGTCCTGGGGGTTGAACTCAGGACCTGGAGAAGGGAAGACAGAGAGAGAGAGAGAGAGAGAGAGAGAGAGAGAGAGAGAGAGAGAGAGAGAGAGAGAGAGAGAGAGAGAGAGAGAAAGAGGGAGAGGGAGAGGGAGGGGGAGGGAGAGAGATTGAGGATCCATATGCTCAGTTCATCCTCTCAATCCTCTAGATTGGCACAGGGCTTTAAGGGGTAAGGCATGACCTGTGGCCAGGTGGAAGAATTTGAGGCTTGGCCGGCCTGGTGGTACCTGACCCGAGGCAGTCTACAGGCTTCATGTTGGGGTCAGGGCCCCAAGCCTGGCCACCTTGCCTGTTTCCTCTTTGGCTGCTAGACTGCTGGAGCTTCTCTAAATATTATTCTTAGGGGATTTGTTGCAGCCTCTTCTCTTGTGCCTGCTGCCTATGCACTCTGAAGATGTGGCGTACCTCAACGGGCCTGTGCCCTGCCGCGCTAAGCCCTTGCAAACTCCAACTCCTGGGCTGGGGGACTTTTCTTACCCAAATCCTTGGGAAGTATCTGGAGCCAGGCAGACCTGGATAGTGGGAATGCGTGGGAACAAGGACCTATGCTCGGCTATCATGTCTGTGTACGGCACAGCAATGTGGTGTCAATCATCCTGCTTAGGGGGCCTTGGGGCACTTAATACAAACAAGTTGTAGACTTTTCTTGTGAGGGGTGGGGCAGTCTTTTCCTTTGAGCCAACCCACTCCATCCTCTAGGATGACAAAACAAGGTCCTGAGGCCAGAAGAGACTGGCTCAGGGACACATAGCCAGTGGGAGCAGCCACTTTGGAATTCTTTTCTTGGGTACTTAACTTGGTTTCTGGCTGTGCTGAGTGTGACCCACTCAAAGTGAATTAAATCGTGTCTGCACTTCCAGCTCTCTTTCCTGATGGCTTATTATTTCCTCAAGAAAGATGGGTGATCTCAGCAGAGGGTGGAGGATCCTCATAGAATTAACTGGGTTGGCACCAGAGCATGCAGGATTGAAGTCAGAATGAAGGAGGATCTTCCTGTATGCATAGTTTCTAGGAGTCAGGGGTTGTGGTAAGGCAGAGCAGTGTCTAGGTCCAAGTTTCAGTCCTACTGTCATTCATTCAGCATTTTCAATATCTTCTCTGAAAGAACAGTGAAAGTTAACCCTGGGAAGGACATTTCCAGCCTTTAGATCTATGTGCCTCACCTTTCCCACCCCTCCTCCAAATCTAGGCCTGGACATCTCCTGGGGGAGGAAGATGGGGTGGGGGGGGGGTAGGGGTGGGAGGAAGAAAGGGGTTCACGTTTTAGCTTTGCAACCTCTAAGCTGAGGGGCTTGGGCAAGTCTCTTGCCTTCTCAGGAGCTGGAGCTCCTCTAGCCCCTTCTAGGGAGTGCTGGGGTGGGGGTGGGGGAGCCATGGACAGTGAGGTCATGGCCTTGATCTGCTACAGCTCTGCTACCCCAGCCCCGCAAGCAGCTCAGACCTCTGTCAAGCAGCACCCTGAGGGCCCCTGGTGTTTATGGAAAGATTGTAGGGGAGGAGGGAGAGGGGCTTGGGCGAGAAGGAGGGAGAGAGGAGGAGAGGGGGCGGGGCTTGGTGTGGGCAGCAGCTTGTGGCTCTCTGTTGGCTGGAGCAGACCTGGGGACTGCAGCGGGAGGCCTTGAAGCTAGTCTGGGAGGGGGCAGGCCGCTCTCCTGCCAAGCTGGGAGTGGCCAGTCTCCTCACATCATTTTAATTAATTCCATAGACATTTGCTAAACTCTGGCCACCACATGGCTCCCTGGGTGTCTGGGGCACCATCAGGACTTGGGCAGATCCCAGGCTGGGTGCCTGCTGGGGGCAGGAGAGTGTCTGCAGAATTCTCTCTCTCTCTCTCTCTTTCTCATAGAGTCAAGCAGGGGGAGAGTGAGAAGCAGGGGGAGAGCAGGAGAGGGGGAGGAGAGTTGGGAGGGTTGGTGGGTTGGAAGGAGGGATGGAGCCAAGCTTTGGCCTTTGAGGTAGAGGGTTTCCACAGCCAGTCTGAGCTTTAGGGGCCTCTCACGTCTCCTGTGCTGTGGGAATGTGGAACTGGGGCTAAGAGGAGCTCCCCTCAGCCCCTTTGTCCTCCCTCCACCCTCCAGCTCATGCCTGCCTTGTGGAAGAACTAGATCATTGGTGTCAGAGGTGGGAGCTGGCAGGTGAATTCAGATGAATGAGGATTGGTCCAGCAGGGGTGAGAGGTAGAGGGTCTCTGAGCCAGCCCAGAGGGCTGGTCCTGAGTCTCCTTGGCCTTTCTGTGCCAAGAAGGGAAAGCTGGGGTTTTGCCTACCAGATGTGCCTGTGGCAGCCTGATAAGGCCTTTTTTTTTTTTTCAGTCCAGCCTTCTTCCCCTTGGCTTTCCTTTCCCTCTCACACCCACCCCGGCACGAACCGCACAGTTGCCAAGGCATAAGCAGAACTATTTGCATAATACTTGCGATTTTTGTGGCCCTAGACGGAGGGCACTGTGGACCTCCCGGGGGTGGGGCAGGAGGACTCAGCTGCCCAGGCTAAGCCCCCTGCTAGGAAGTGAGAACTTGGAGACTGGCGTCGGGGTGAGGACTCACCCAGAGTCATGCTGTCTGATGTCAGCACCCCCGAGATGAATGAACATTTCACCCCTGGCTGCTCATGCCTTTCACTACCCTCTTGACCCCTCGAGCCCTCAAGCTGCACAGAAGAGTTCCTCCAAAACATTGGCTCAGAGCCCAGAAAAAGAAGTATGGTTTCAGAAGGGATTTGGACACATTTCTATAGACAGCTGGGGAAGAGACTTCTTCCTAGGAGCCAAGCATCCTGTGTGTCTACCTGACTGCTCTGTGTCCTTGATTGAATCACCTCTCGCTGAACTTTGGTTTCCTGTTGCTGAGCAGGTTTGGGGGAGAGGGGAGAGGCTCCATAGGGCCTGACGATGAGCCCAGGGACTCTGACTGCCTGTGGAAGCGTTTCTGGGCAAAGGCAGCCAGTGGATGGCAGTCAGAGGAATCAGGAAGGACTTCCCTGTGCAAGTAGTCTTCCAGGAGGGAGGAGAAAAGCTATGAGGCTCATCTACCCTTTCCTAAGAGGAGATTTTCTTCTAGCCATGCTACTCTTGTTCCCTTGGTTCATGACTTTCCCTCAGGATCTTAAACCCCACTCTGATTTGGGCCAAGTCTGTGTGTCTCATGAGTGGAGGTCAAGGCAGTTGAGACATTGGCGTTCCCCCTCTTTTCTTCCTGTACCCAGAACTCTGTCTCCTGAGTTCTGGAAACTCCTTTCCCGATACGTGATTATTAAGCTAGCTGTAGGGTACAGGCGGAAGTGAAGAGACAGGCAATTGGTCAGATAGGACCATTACTTGACTTTCTCCTTTTTCTGGCCTCTGGTTCTCCATCTCCAAAGTAGGCATCAGGATGACCTGCTCTTTACTTCCTCCTGTAGAAATGGATGGTGACCAGCCTCATTTTCCTACTGTCCAGGTGCTCAGAAACTTGGAGCTGATCTGGGAGAAGCCCTCCCCTGATCCTTGTTCCTTTTCTGAGCCCTACAGCAGGAAGTGAGTGCTCCAGCCAGAGGCCTGAAGGGCTGCAGTGTCTTATCTGCCAGCCATGTCAAGCGTCAACGTCAAGGCTAGGCATCTGGACTTTTCCCCTGCCAACCTTTGGTGGCAGCAGGGAGGGAGCATGGCCCCCTGGAGGCCCGGTGTGGAGATTGGGTGCTGGGGAATTTAAGTTCAAGGCTATGGGGGCTCATGGATGGAGGCGGGGAACTCTGCAGCCCAGAGAGGGGATCACCTTGGGATTTAGGACTCAGCTGTGACTTGAGCCCTTGCCCCTGGCTCCTCCCCCCTCCCACCCCCATTACAGACTGCCTGGGATCAGGGCGCCATGCAGGGAAGATGTCTCATGCCTGTTTCTCACCTGCAGTGAACCCCTGTTGTTACTACCCGTGCCAGAACCAGGGTGTCTGTGTTCGCTTCGGCCTTGACGGTTACCAGTGTGACTGCACCCGCACGGGCTATTTGGGCCCCAACTGCACCATCCGTGAGCCGGATCTCCAGCCTCTCCAGCCCCTGGGCTCAGACCCCACTTCCTATCCTTACCTCTGACCCCATGTCCCTTCTCTTTCCTGGCCTGGCTCTGGTCTCTCCCTGACCTGGCTCCCACATGAACTCTTGCGTCCGTTCACCAACAGTCCTGGCCTGTGGGCTCTGTGGCCATGCAGTACCATGTTTCCCGGTCGTCCATCATCACACCTGGCTCTGTCATGTGTCACACTTCCAACGCTCTATCCAGATCCTTGCCCCACAAATGCTACCTTGTCCCCTCCCGGCCCTTACCCCTCAGTCCCCATCTTCCTACCCTGGCTACTTCCGGTCCTCCCATGAGGGCCTACTGAGCAGCTCCCACTGCTTCTGCAGCTGAACTCTGGACCTGGATCCGGTCTTCCTTGCGGCCCAGTCCCACTTTCGTCCACTTCCTACTCACACATGGACAATGGTTCTGGGAGTTTGTCAACGCCACATTTATCCGAGACTTTCTTATGCGCCTAGTCCTCACAGGTGGGTGTGGAGGAGGACCCGGCCCTTCCCCAATCTGGCCAGTGAGACATGCTACCAGTCCTGGTGATTCTTGGTATGTGAAGTGGGTGGGGAGACTCTTCAGTGCCAGATAAAACAAACCTTAACCCAAGAGGAGTCAGGGAAAAGAGGGGTATAACTGGAAGAAATGGAAGCAATTTTGTCACCATTATTTTCTCTCTCTACAGTGCGATCCAACCTTATCCCCAGCCCTCCCACCTATAACTTAGCACATGACTACATCAGCTGGGAGTCCTTCTCCAATGTGAGCTACTACACTCGAGTTCTGCCTTCTGTGCCCAAAGAGTGTCCCACACCCATGGGGACCAAAGGTAATGGGCATGGCATGAGCTGGCCTGGGAACCATAGGAGATGCTCAAGTGTTCTCTTCAGGACCAACAAAAGCAGACAGAGCCGGGTGCTGGTGGCTCACACCTGTAATCATAGCTACTCGGGAGGCTGAGCACTGAGGATCATGGCTCATATGGCTGACATGTCTAAAACAGATGAGAACAGGAAAGGGTAGCCACAGGTCTTAGGTCACCAAGAAAGTCAAAGAGACAGGAGGGATGGTCAATACCTGGAATTCCACAACTTAGGAGTCTGAGGCAGGAAGATTTTGGGTTCAAGGCTAGCTTGGGTTATAGAGCAAGATTCTTCCCCCCAAAACAAAACCAAACAAAAAGGAAGAAAGGAACAAAGAAATAAAGAGACAGAGGCAGAAATGTGTTTCCAATTTCCTAGGCTACTTCTTGGCTTGACCTTTGTCTACTGATGAGGGCCATTCTTCTGGGTGTAGAAGTGATTTCTAAGTTGAAATGGAGGAGATCTGGAAGGTAGGAAGACAAGAAGGAAAGAAGGAAGGGAGGAAGGAAGGAAGGAAGGAATAGAGGAATGAACAGTATGCCATATATTGGTGCTAACACTGTGTTTGGTTCTTTTGTTTGTGTCCCAATCCTGGGGCTTGAACTCAGGACCTAGGTGCTATCCTTGAGCTTTTGTGCTCATGGCTAGCCCTCTACCACCAGAGCCACAGCTTCACTTCCAGCTTTTTTGCAGTGCTTAATTGGAAATAAAAGTGTCATGGTATCTTGCACATGTAATTGTAACTCCTCTGTATGGTATTCTCACAATAAAAAAATAAAAAATAAAAAAAATAAATTCAGCAAGAAAAAAAAAGAAATATTAAAAATGGAAAAAAAAAAGCGTCATGGACTTTCCTGCCCAGACTGGCTTTGAACTGCTATCCTCTGACCTCAGACTCTTGAGTAGCTAGGATTACAGGCGTGAACCACTGGTTCTTTACTAAATGCATGTCATTTTCCATGTTTCTCTGGGTAAAGTACAAAGAAGGTCATTTTTCTTCAGTTACCCAAGAACATTTGGCTTCTAGGTAGGGGGTCTTCCTCCTATGGCCTTCTTCTCAGTTCAACCTTAGTTGTGCAGAAATCTAGAGGTTACTCAGTAAAAGATCATCTATTCAGCCAGAGCAGAGAAGACAGACTCATCAGTCCAGCATGCTGTGGCCTCACTTCCTGCCACAAGGTGTCGCTGTTGAACATTGTTCCTGGGTAGCCCCTTGGTCCTGCTTTGGCAGATTTTGAACCTTGCGTGGATATTGATGTCTGCACAGGGTCTCCAGGGACCTGGTCTGGTGGTTCTCAATCACATGGTTAGCTACTATTGTGGCTAGTTTAGCAGAATAGCTGGGTTAAGCCAACATTGCTGAAATCAGTCCTTGTCCAATGTAAGCGAGCAGTGATGCCAGATTGTAGGGGTACAGATCATTTCCTCTAACCTTTTTCTTTGGTGAGCTTCCTTAAGGGCACTTGATATCTCTCCTTGCCAAAGGGATCCAGCTGTTCATTTCAATCCAAAGACTTTCCATTGGTTGTGGACCTTATCTGAACTCTGGTAAAGGGATTCATGTAGCAGAACATAGAAAATCCTAGTGTTGGGTGCCAGCTCATCTGACATAACTGATGAAGGCCTCCCAATACTTATAATGACAGGCATCTGCTTCCTGATGACTTATCTTTATCCCAGACATAGAGAAAACTGGCATAATTTACAAATATGTTGGCCATCTACATTTGACCACAGGCCAAATCTAGCCCATCTCCTGTTTTTATAAATAAAAGTTTTACTGGGACTCAGTTACATTTTAAAAAATGTGTTGTCTTTGATGCTTTCCTGCAATAAAAACAAAACTGATTCAGGTGCCAGTTGCTCATGCTTGTAATCCTAGCTACTCAGGATTTGAGGATTACAGTTGGAAGCTAGCTCAGGCAGAAAAATCTGTGAGACTCTTATCCCCAATTTAATACACACACACACACACACATGCGCGCGCGCTCGCACACACACACACACACACACACACACACACACACCATGCTAGAAGTGGAGCTGTACTTCAAGTGATAGAGTACTTATCTTGAGCAAAAAAAGCTTAGGGTCAGCACAGAACCCAGGCTCTGAGTTCAAGCCTCAGAACCAACAAAACAAAACAAAACAAAAAACAGGCAAAGTTGAATAGACATGACAGAGACCACATGGTTTGCCATGGCTAAAGTATTTACTATCTGAGCTTTTTATAACGCAGGTTTGTTGATTCTTGGTTGAAAGGATTTAATTTTGCAAGATCTCTTGTTATGTTTACATCTTCTCATGCAATCTTCAGGTATAAATCCACTATATAAAAATAAGTATTATTGCCCTATTTTACGGATGAAGAAACTGAGGCTCCAAGAGATGACTTAACTTTGTTCACATAGTTGGCAAGTAATTGCCAGTGGTAAATACAGCATATTTTGTTCCAGGGCAAGAGAGTCTCTTATTTCTTTTTGATTAATTTTTTTTCATGATGGAAAAGTGCAAATGTACCTATAAGTTGAAAATACAATGAACATATACTCATGTCTCAGTTTTAACCCTAACCCACGATTTACCAGTCTTATGTCGTCTCTTCCTCTCTCATCTCTTCTTTTTTTGAAAGTTTTAGCTAGGATTTATTTTAGTATAACAGGATGAAAGTAGGGAGAAACAAGAGATAGAGAGGGAATGAGGGAGAAAGAGAAACATTTCCTGCTTCCTATGTTTAACTCAGGAAATGTGAGTTAAAGACTCAAAATAGTGATTCCCTCTCAGTTTTTAGTGGAGTATTTTAAGGTAAATTTCAAATAGCATGTCATTTCACCTATAAATGTGGCTAGGTCTTTTCCCAGTGTGACTGAAGGGGCTACTGTGTGGGGTAAGGTGTGTCTGAGGAGGATGTTCTGGGCTTCTTGCTTGGATTTTCTCAGTGAGCCCTGACATCTCCCAGACAGGGATAGTCAGATGAGAGCCAGGTAGCAACCACTCTTTACCTCCTCAACCAGGAAAGAAGCAGCTACCAGATGCCCAGCTCCTTGGCCGTCAGTTTCTGCTCAGGAGAAAGTTCATCCCCGATCCCCAAGGCACCAACCTCATGTTTGCCTTCTTCGCACAACACTTCACGCATCAGTTCTTCAAAACATCTGGCAAGATGGGTCCTGGCTTCACCAAGGCCTTGGGCCATGGGGTGAGCACTTAGGAAGAATGTAGAACTGCTCTAGACCTGACATAGCACATATAGATCATTGTCAGAAGCTTAGAGCCCAGGAGACGTATTGGTCCTGTCTCTCTCCTCAGGTAGATCTTGGCCATATTTACGGAGACAATCTGGAACGACAGTACCAACTGAGGCTCTTTAAGGATGGGAAACTCAAGTACCAGGTAGTGCTGGGTCTGGGGATGGGATGGTGGGAAGGATCTCCCTTGGTCTCCTTGCCAAAGGCTGCCTAGGTGGTTTGGGGCTGGGTCGTGTCCTGGAGAAAGTCAGTCGTAGAAGTTGAAGATCTGTGCCAAGAGGAGAGACAGTAAACACTGGGGAGCAAATATGATCACCTCCTGGGAGGTGGACTTGGAGCTTCACTAGGGAGCTGCTGTCATTCATGTTGTTTTTCACCATGTTGACTGGGTACCATGTTGTGCCTTACCTGAATGATTGAGCGGGGACCATCCTAGTTATGAGCCCTGCCCCCCAAAGAACCACAGCCATAGAATATATCTAGGATATGGTTCCAGGACTTTTTGTCTATACCAGCATTAACTTAGGTGACACACATACACACACAATTCAAATTTTCTAGAGGTCACATTAAAAAAAAGATAAAAAGAAACAGGCCCCATGGGTTTTCATAAATGTGTTTTACTTGCTACAATAGTATCTCCATTTCAACATGTACTTACGACAAAAATAAAATGTTTCACATTTTTTTCTATACTAAATCTTTGAAACTTTGTGTGCATTTATCCTTGCAGAATGGTACAATTTGGATGCTAAGTTTCCAATAGAGATACCTGATCTCTTGATTGGCACTTAGAGCTTTGTAACCTTTACAGTTGAATAAGTAGATGCACATTCCCAAGTTTGCTGGAGTATCAGTTTTTTTTTCTTTTCCCAGTGCTGGTCTTGGGGCCTGGGCACTGTCCCTTAGCTTTTTATTTTTCTCAAGGCTAGTGCTCTACTATTTGAGTCACACCTTCTCTTCTAGCATTTTGGTGTTTAATTGGAGATAAGAATCTCATGGACTTTCCTGACTAGGCTAGCTTCCATCCTCAGAGCTCAGCCTTCTGAGCAGCTAAGATGACAGGCTCTGAGCCTCTGGAATCCAACTGCAATATCAGTTTTAAAATACTAATAGTAATCAAGTAAAATCGAAATAAAGTAAATTAAAATTTTCACACTAGCCAAATTTCTAGTGTTCAATAGATATAGGTGACTAGTGGCTTATCAGAATGGATTGTGCAAATCTTAGCAAATGAAAGAAAAAAATCAGTGGTACATCTTTAGGGCTAAGGTCAGTGCTTGGCATACAGTAGTTCTTTAGTGAATAAGTAGTTAATGAATAAATGAATGAATGAAGAAGTTGCTATAGAATTAGTGAGAAGATGTGGGGGCCTGCTGAGTAGCTGGAGGCTGGGCCTACCTGGAATCTCATGAGAGGAGAGGAGTAGAGAGGTCAGTAAGGGCAGAGAAGGGCTTTCCAGGCAGTGGGCTCAGCATGTGCAAAGGCCCAGAGGCACATACACACAACAGCCTGGCTAAGTTGGAGGGAGCATGAAGACTGGGAGGGATGGGAACTGAGCTGGCATGGAGGGTAAAAATGACTGTGGATGAGGCGGGATGCATCTGGAGGAGGTGTGTCAGGGACTGGGAGAATTTCAAGGGGATGCATGAGGTTATAGGTCAATGTAGCTTCGTTCCAAAGAAGGATCACACGAGCTATGGTGTGGAGAATGGTTTGTCTGGGCACAAGAGAGCCGAAGAGGAGGGTGCGTTGGACCAGGACACAGAAGTAGTAGAGACAGAGAGGTCTGGGTGGGTGGATGAGGAGGGTAGAATCCCGCAGCAGGGAGGCGTCGGTTCGGCAGCTGTGGGTGCCCCCCCACCCCACCCCCAGGTTGGCAGGCGGCCCCCATCCCACAGGTCCTGGACGGGGAGATGTACCCGCCATCCGTGGAAGAGGCGCGGGTCGTGATGCATTACCCGGGGGGCGTCCCGCCCCGAAGCCAGATGGCAGTGGGCCAGGAGGTGTTCGGGCTGCTGCCGGGCCTCATGCTGTACGCCACCATCTGGCTGCGGGAGCACAACCGCGTGTGCGAGCTGCTGAAGGCGGAGCACCCGACCTGGGACGACGAGCAGCTCTTCCAGACCGCGCGCCTCGTGCTCATAGGTGAGGCTGGGCGCAGAGGCCCTGCCGCGGGGCTGCCCTGGATGGCCTGAGGAGGAGGGCGGGGGCTTCCAACGCTGGGAATCCACGGGATGACCCTCCCCCACCCCTCCCTCCCCCGCCCCCCACCTGCCCTTTGGGGTGATGGCTGGCTGGGTCTGTGGAGCTGGTGCTGGAGAAAGGGACCTAGCACACAGCATGCTGTCAGGAAACACGCGTCTGTAACCAGGTGTGATCCACTGCCCCATGCCTCAGTTTCCCCTCCTTTTCTGTACTCAGATATACGCATCTGAGACAAGCCGGGCACATACAGGGTTCAAACTTCAGCTTGTCCAGTCTGGAGGAAGCGCTGCCTAGCATCTGCTTTTCTGGCTTTTGGTAGCTGCTAGGTGACTCAGGGACAGGATATTTTTATGTCTACAACTCCAAATGTCAAATGGTTTCCTGCCTACGAGCTTGGCCTCTGCCATCCCTGTCCAGACCAATTTCGGTCTGAGTCACCCCTTTTCTCTGTCCTCCCTCTCCCCCCCCCCCCACTTCTGGGCACCACTGGGCATGGCTGGTCTCAATTATGTGCTGAATTACTACAGCCTGGAGGAACCTGGAATAAGAATAGCTCAAAGAGGAAAGAAGAACTGGTTTTGGTTCAGAAAGGGCAAGTCTATGGCTGGAGGTTACCCAGCACATTGACTGTACATGAAACTGTGATGAAAGGCAGGAGCCCTCGGGCACTGCACAGCGTTTACCTCCTTTAACTTCCCGTAGCTTTCTGAATTGGATATGAATACCCTTGTGAAAGTTTAGTGGCACCTGCCTGTCATCCCCGCACCTGAGAGGCCAGGGCAGATCAACGGCGAGTCTGATGTCAGACTAGGTTATAGAATGAGTCCAACAGAATGTATGCCTTTGTGTCTTCTTCACATGACCCAGTGAATACTGTTGCACACGTGTGTGTGTGTGTGTGTGTGTGTGTGTGTGTGTGTGTGTGTGTGTATACGTATACACACACACACAGAAGATTCCTTGTGCAGATCAGAAAAGTGAGCTTTGGAGAGATGAAGGAACTTGGCTTAAGCTCATAGAGCTACAAATGGCAAAACCAAGATTCAGATGTCTGATTCCAAATTCTGTGGCTCTGTGTCAGTCTACTAAAAGTCAATTTATCTCATGACTAACTGGCCCAAACATTAATTCCCTTTTAATCTCTAGGTGGCCTTTTTAATCTCAGGATGGAATATTCAGTTTGCTGGTTTCTGAGCTGGCAGAGGGAGACTGTGTATAAGAATTCCGATATCAGAACAGATGAGATATAAAGGATTTTAGCTGTGTGTAGGGCTAAATCTACCTTCTGCCTTAGCTCTTGCCTATAGCAGTTGACAGAGTGGTCTCTTTGAAGCTCCCTTGCTTCACTGAGCCATAAGCCAGCCCCCAACTTTTCTAGCTTTTGGGGTTTCTGTAGCCTCTTAATGGGCTCAGTGGTCTCTTCGAGTTAGATGCATTCTTTGTGATATTAGGGATTGAACCCAGGGCTTCCGCACACCCTTGGCTGTCTCATTTGCATATTATGCTTAGCTGGGTCTACAACCTCCCACTGCATTGTGGGAGTTGTGGTGATCTTGTCTAGAGGTGGAATGAAATCTGAGAAAGTTCTGTTTTCCCATCCCGTTATGAGAGGAAGGGCAGGCAAGTGGCCACATATTGATAACCATACCAACGAAAAGGAGACTTTTCATGAGCTGGCCTGCTTTCTCCAAGCCTTGTGTCTATATCACTGTGTTCTGCTGATCTCATTTCTAAACTGACCCCCCTTCCCCCTGGGCAGGTGAGACCATCAAGATCGTCATTGAGGAGTATGTGCAGCAGTTGAGTGGCTACTTCCTGCAGCTCAAGTTTGACCCGGAACTGCTCTTCAGAGCCCAGTTCCAGTATCGCAACCGAATCGCCATGGAATTTAACCATCTGTACCACTGGCACCCGCTCATGCCTGACTCCTTCAAGGTGGGCCAGCAGGAGTATAGCTATGAGCAGTTCTTGTTCAACACCTCCATGCTGGTGGATTATGGGGTCGAGGCCCTGGTGGATGCCTTTTCTCGCCAGAGTGCTGGCCGGGTAAGTCTCAGTCGGGTGAGGGTGAGGGTAGTCAGGCCTTGGGCTCCAATAGAGCCTGGTTAAAATCCCAGTTTCCTTGTCTGTAAAATAGGTATAGTGTCTCTATAGGGGAGCTGTTTTTGTCTGTCATGGGGCTTGAACTCAGGGCCTGTGTGCTGCCCCTGAGCTCTTCTACTCAAGGCTAGCTTTCTACCACTTGAGCCACAGCTCCACTTCCAGAATTTTGGTAGTTAATTGGAAATGAGAGTCTCATAGACTTTGCTTCCTGTAGTGCCCAAGTCGCAGGACCCCCACCAAGAAGACCACCGAGAGTCAGACGTTCTGAAATGCAAAAGCAAGGTTTTATTTAGTCGGGCTGCAGCTCGGGCCTCATCCTATACTTCCATACAGCCTCCTAGGAGAGGCCCGAGCTAAACATTTACAGGGCTTATAAAGGCAAACAACCAGGTGTTTGATTACCACCACGTGTTGCTTTGCTAGCTGAGATAATTGGTGGTCTAGGTTTGCTCACAGGATTTGCTTATCTTAGGCTTAACCTTTCAGTTTAAACAAGCAACAAATGGTCACTGCCTCAAAAATGGAGTTAACCCTTCACTTCCCAGGCTGGGCTTCAAACCATGATCCTTAGATCTCAGCCCCCTGAGTAGCCAGGATTACAGGCGTGAGCCATCAGTGACTAGCCTAAAAATGACACTTTGATATATAATTAGAGAGAGGATGCCTGAATAAAATGGTCATTGGTGACCATTTCAGCAGGTTTGAATATGTTTTCATAATAAAAATCGAAACAAAATTAGCTAATGCTTAGGACAGTCTAATGAGTTAGATGTTTTTACCATATCCCCAGATGACATATAACTTTGCAAACTGTCTATAAACATTGTCAGCAAATATCAAAGACCTTAAAATATTTGCATTCTTAATCTAGACCTTTGTGAATTGCTTCATGACCATTCACTATGATACGATGCTATCGCAATATTTTTATGATACTGGATCCAGCCCTCCCCAAGGTGCACAAAATCCATAGATAATAAAAATCCCTTAAACACAATGAAGTTTTGCATTGAGCCCATAAACATCCTCCTTATACGTTGGATCATCTCTGTAGAACACTGCATTGCTCATTAGAAAGTGAAGACAAGGAAAAAGAAGTTAACCAGAATATAAGAAGTGACAGCATGGGCTTTCCCTGGTGATCATCATGCACCTTGGGACCAATTTTGAGACAGCTGCTTTGCTTCCCTTATCTTTTATTTTATTCCAACATATGAGGTGGATGTTCTTGACTTCTATACATAGGACAGAACTCATATTTAGCTCAGGTAACTGCCCAAGGTCCTTGCGTTTGTTTGCTATGGGTTGCCCTAATGAAGTACCACACATGCGATGGCTGAGAACCACAGAAATTATTTATCCTTTCATTGTTCTGGACACAGGAAATCTGAAAGCAAGATGTCAGCAGGGTTGTGTTCTCTCTGAAAGCACTTAGGAAAATCTGTTCCATATCTTTCCTTTAGTGTTTGCTGTTGGTGGACAGTCCTGGATGTTCCTTTGCTTGTGGATTTATCACTCTGACCTCTGTTGCCCTTCATCCTGGGTTCTCTGTGTCCTCTTAGAAGGGTAAAGGTTAGGACACACCTTCCTCAAGGATGACCTAATCTGTACTTGAGTCCATTGGTGAAGGTTGTAGTAGTTAACCCCTTATTCATGGTGGACTCATTCTAAGATACCCAGTGGATGGTGGAAATTGCCGACAGTATTGAACCCTATAGACTACATTTTTTTTTTTTTTATTGTGCCCATTCTGGGGCTTGAACACTGAGCTCTTTTGCTCAAGGCTAAGTACTCTGCCACTTGAGCCACTTCCAGATTTTTGGTAGTTAATTGGAGACAAGTGTTTCACAGACTTTCCTACCCAGGCTGGGCTTTGAAAAACCTCAATCATCAGATCTCAGCCTCCTGAGTAGGTAAGATTACAGGTATGAGCCACCGGTGCCCGGCTCAAAATATCTCATTGTACTATACATATTCTTCTTGGGAAGATGTGAGATGATCAATACATGCATGATGGGATAGAATGAGAAGAATGGGGCATATGGGAGGTAGGGTTAGCTTATTACATAGGATTACTAAGATATAAGAACTATCACATCACGATGGTTGATCTGTTAACCAAGACAGCTAGCCACATGACTGACAGGCAGGTAGCTCAGCCATTGTGGATCTTTTGGACAAAAGGATGGTTTACATTCTGGGCAGCATCGAATGTGACTGCACTAGATTTCACCATGCTACTAAAAAAGCACATCATTAAAACCGTATGAGTTGTTTATTTTGGGAATTTTCCATTAAATCTTGTACCGTAGTTTCTGTGTGAGTAATTGAAACTGCAGAAAGGGAATTCTCCCCTTCCCTCAAAAAGGGAACTATAGCATTTCTAAATTACTATAGGTTGGGACTTCAGTGTAACTTTTTGGAGGACACAATTCAATACACACAGCTCCACAGCCGTGTTAATGGGCTGAACTGGGATTGGCACCAGCTTCTGCTTGCTTTGTTCAAAGTTTGTTTTGTTGCAGGTCATGTTTCTTTCCAGTATGTTTGTTATTTCCTGCTCCCACCACCCAGTTATACATGTCCTATTGAAACAGAACTCTCTCTGCTTCTGAAGCATGGGCAGCCTTTCATCACAAGAAATAGAACTTTCTCTAGAGCAGTGCCTCTCAACTACTCCTAATCAGAATCATTTTCCAGCACCCTTCTTCATCTCATCAGAACATCTGGGCTTTGATCATATTTTCTCTGCCTTCACTAGGAATAGTAGTAGCCTTTGGTGTGATGCAAAGGACTAGGGAACAGGCTTTGAGCAACTAGAGCAGTCCTCCTGGCCCATCCACACTTCTGCTTTGAGTAAGCTGAGACTCTGCAGTGGCCCTGGGACAGGTTATGATGCAACAGACTGAGGGCCAGCCTTTCCCCTCCCCCCATCATGGCTGCTAGGTTCTCTGTCCTGGACTTGAAGTATTTATTTTATTTTATTTATTTTATTCATTTTTTTTTGTTGGTCTTGGGGCCTGAACTCTGGGCCTGGATGCTGTCCCTCAGCTCTTCAGCTCAAGGCTAGTGCTCTACCACTTGAGCCATAGCACCACATCTGGCTTTTTCTGCTTATGTGGTGCTGAGGAATCGAACCCAGGGCCTCATGCATGCAAAGCAAGCACTCTACCACTGAGCCACCTTCCCAGCCCCTTGAAGTATTTCTTGAAGGACCTGGGGCTCCAGAACAGTTTGACCTGGCCCTCAGTTTCATAGCTGTGCTCATCTCTTGCCAGATTGGTGGAGGCAGAAACATAGACCACCACGTTCTGCATGTGGCCATCGATGTCATCAAAGAAGGGCGAGAGATGCGCATGCAGCCCTTCAATGAGTACCGCAAGAGGTTTGGCATGAAGCCCTACACGTCTTTCCAGGAACTCACAGGTGAGCAACTGCTTCTTGAACATAGTTCCAGCCCTGGAGGGACTCACAGGAAAGTGAGGGAGATAATAAGGAAATAGACCAGGACAATACCAGTAGCCATCACTGTGACCAAGGGAATGATAAAGGTGGTACATAACCCCAATTTGGGGAGAGAAGGTAACTTTTTGGCTGTGTTTGAACGATAAGTAGGAATTTCCCAGTTTGGAGAATAGAAGGAAGAACAGTTTTGAGTAGGGCAAGGGGCAGTACAGAGTCTCAGAGATCAAAAAGTCTGTGACCATTTGAGAGAACTCTTGTAGAGGTGGCTGTAGTAAGGGGCCTAGGTGGCGAGAGCTTGAGAGCAAAGTGTAGAATCTTGGATTCCATGCCAAAGGTTTCAGATTCTATTTTACCTAGTGGTCCCTAGATATTTATTGATGGGCCTATTGTGTATGAATTGTGTCAGAAGCTGATTAAATGATCAGATCTAGCAGGGCTATAGATCTGTGGTAGAGTGTAGGTTTAGCACATGCAAGACCTTGAATTCAATCTCCTCCACCAAACCAACCCTCAAACCAAACCAGAAACTAAATACCCCTTGAAATCTTGTGATTTAGTAGGTCTTTGTAGGCTTCAAGTGTCTGCGTGTGTGTGTGTGTGTGTGTGCATGTGCGCGCGCGCGCACACACACACACACACACACAAACACCACTTCTGTGGTCCCCAGATTTTGATCAGCCAAAGTGTAACCCTGTTAGTTACAGGTAATGAGGCCACGGAAGCAGGGCGTGGCCTGCATGGTTGCCCGGTGGAACATGGGCTTAGGGAGGCATAAAGGGAAGCTCTATGTCGATCTCTCTTTGATCACGCCCATGTGGGTCTCACAGGATGGAGGGGAACCTGAGATCAGTCGGTTTCCTAGATCTAGGGGCAGTAATATTTGTCATTTTTTTCATCTCCTATAACAAATGGTGTAGAGGGGAGAAAGACCGCTGTCACTGCCATCTGGGGGCAAATTCTATTTTATCTTTAGGCTCTAGCATGAAAATGGGGCTTAGATCAAGATAAAGCCTTGAAATCTGCCTGTGAATGAAGCAAGCTAGGAAGTGGAGCCTCCTTCCTGTTAGAATGACCGGATGAATTATTCTCAGAGAAGTGGGATGGATGAGTTTCTTGAGGTCACAAGCTATTGACTGGTAGATCTAGACCTCTGGGCTCTTTCTTTGTAGTGGATTCTTTCCTTAACAGCCAGTCTAGGATGAGGGTTGATCTGTGCTTGCCTGACCCTTTTTGCCAACACCAGCAAGGCTAGGTTTTAGGGCATTTGTCCAGTTGCTCAGATTATTCTTCTGGAATTCCTTTTATTCCCAGACAAAAGTGTGCCTAGATTCCCACTCAGATCCTAAGGATACCAAGCCTCTGACCGTAGCTTTCTTCCACTTGCAGGAGAGGAGGAGATGGCAGCTGAGTTGGAAGAGTTATATGGAGACATTGATGCCTTGGAATTCTACCCCGGGCTGCTTCTTGAAAAGTGTCAGCCCAACTCCATCTTTGGGGAGAGTATGATAGAGATCGGAGCTCCTTTTTCCCTCAAGGGTCTTTTAGGGAACCCCATCTGTTCTCCAGAGTACTGGAAGCCAAGCACATTTGGTGGTGAGGTGGGCTTCAACCTCGTCAACACTGCCACCCTGAAGAAGCTGGTCTGCCTCAACACTAAGACCTGTCCCTATGTTTCCTTCCATGTGCCATACTCCAGTCAGGATGATAAGCCTGCTGTAAAGCGACCATCTACAGAGCTCTGAGGGGCAGGAACATAGCCTTTTAGAGGGCGGGGCTTTGTGAATGCCATTCCAGAATGCGGAGGCCAGTGCCAATGATCTTAAGTGCTGGCATTGTGAGGAGTTGGGTTGACACTTAGAGTTTGGGGATGTTCTTGCTAAATTCACTGATCACCCTACCCAGTGTTAGGAGTTGGTCTCATTTGGGCCTCCAGAACTCTGGGCTCCTTCCTGTTCCTTGACAATCTGGAACATCAGGTTCCTGATTGGTTTGAAATATAGGCATTCTAGAATGTAGAGCTCCCAACGAACCCTTCTAGAAAGCTAAAGGGTTCTGATTTTGCAGTCTAGAATCTGAGTGGCCCTCCAGAATTGTTGGCTCATTAAGGATCCAGAATGTCATGTTCCTGACTGATGATCCAGAACTGAAGCCAATTGGCTGGGTCAGTTCTCACTTAAAATATTGATTTATTTTCCTGTTCAGTGAGAAACACACAGAGTAGGAGAACCCAGTGGCCAACAAGACTTCATTGCCCGAATTTATGCCCAAATGGAGGGGGCAAAGAAGAAATATTCTTCTTCCCCGACTTAGACCCTGGTCTAAGGATGTAGAGAAAATAGGTGGTTTTTCTATGCCATTGGCTGGATGCTACCAGGACTCTGGCCTTAGCCAAGTCTTTACATGTGGCAGCTGTTTCTCATGAAGCTAATAAAGTTCTCTTTCTGAAGTTGTCGGCTACCTATGTCTTTTGGTCTCACCCTCATATGGAGCCATAGCAACCATATTCCTTTTTCCTGTCCACAATACTGGAGACTCAGCATGAGTTCTTTATTTACTTACTTTGTGGAGATTCCTGAGACCCAATCTTGTGTATGTCCTTCATCTGGTGTGCTTCATTGTCCCCATAGGCCAGCTTTATCCAATATACTTTTCTAAAATACTCAACTGCCGGGCACTGGTGGCTCACACCTGTAATCCTAGCTACTCAGGAGGCTGAGATCTGAGGATCGCAGGTCAAAGCCAGCCCGGACAGGAAAGTCTGTGAGATTTTATCTCCAATTAACCACCAGAAATCCACAAGTGGTGCTGTGGCTCAAGTGGTAGAGCGTTTGCTTTGAGATGAAGGGCTCAGGGACAGAGCCCAGGCCCAGAGTTCAAGCCCCATGGCCAACCACCAAACAAAAAATACTCACCTGTCCAGTTTTGGAAATATAACATCTAGTTCCTGCCAGATGATGAAAAAATGCCCCTCTCTTATCAAGCAGACCAGCGACAAGGAGGACCTGGAGAGGGGAGCATTGCCATGTACCAACTTTGCACAAGGAATGCTCAGTTATTTTCACACCAGCAGCATGAAGTGGGTGTCTTAATCCGTGCCTCAAAACTAAGGAAGCCAAAGAGCAGTCAAAGGGACACATCTGCCCCACAGGTGCCCCAGCCAGACTTGGAATGAAGCCCTGGATGAGTCTAGAGCTGTGTTCTTACTCCTGCATTGATCCTGCCTGATTGGCCCAAGCTAGAAGACAAAGGTGTAGGCACCTCTTTATATACTGGCTATTCATTCATTGAGAAATGTTTGTTTTATTTTTATTTTCTTTCATTCTGTTTTTTTTTTATTGTGAAAATACTGTACAGAGGAGTTACAATTACATGGGCAAGATAATGAGTACATTTCTTATCAAGCATTGTAGCCTCCTCCTTTGTTTCCCCTTCTCATCCCTTCCCATCCTCCCCCCACCTCCCTGTGCAACCCTCCTTCCCCCCACCAAAGTTGTAAAGTTTGTTTTCGACATAACGACTTGTATATCTCATTGTTGCAATGGGTCCACCTGTATCCCTATTTAAATGATTTGTTTTTTCCCTTCCCCTCCAAAAATTATACCAACATCAAATACAGTGAAAGCAGGGGTTATATCATGGGGGAGGGACATACAAATCAACAAAGAAATAATCTTATAAATGTGTTAGAAACAATCACATGAAAGAAAAAAAACATTTGAATAAATAACTTAGAGTTCATTTCCCTAACATCACCTTATCTGACCTTTTCTGCTTGACTCAGACATATACTAGTTATTGCAAATTAGGAAAACCATGGGACCTATATTTCTTTGGGTCTGGCTTACTTCACTTAATATAATTTTTTCCAAGTCTTTCCATTTCCTAACAAATGGGGCAATGTCATTGTTTCTGAGAAATGTTTATTTTATGAAGTGCTTTCTGTATGCTGGTTACTGCAATAGGCTTACGTTATAGCCATGATGATCAATGTGGATCAGTGAGGCTTCTGCTCACATGGAACTCACACTTCAGCACAGACAGGAAATCAGAACACAATGAAATATGATAGGCTCAAGGTGACTTCTCACTAGAGTTGGAGCAAACACATCCTTGTCCCCAGCAGAGAGAGAGAGAGAGAGAGAGAGAGAGAGAGAGAGAAGGACGGAGAGCTAAGGTAAGAGATTGTAACCAGTTCATTGTGCACCATGCTTTGGACTTAACGTTTCTAAGGAAGAAGGATGGCCAAGAAACAGCAGGGGAAGTGTGACTCAGGCTGATGATCTTTGGGCTGAGCCTCCTCTCTCGCAGTCTAGAAAGTCCTTCTTTCTTAGGGTTTCTCCCATCATTCCTTCCTGAGAATGCAGCCCTTCCTTCTCCCACAGTCCCAGAAGAACTGGATGGTAAATAAGGGCACAGAGTAGCTGTTGGTCTTTGCTACACACACACACACACACACACACACACACACACACACACACACACACACACACACACACACACACACACACACACATTAACTCTGTTTGAATACTACTTTCTTTGCCAGTTTCCTGTGTTACTGATTTTGGTATTGATATGGTGCAGTGGTAGAACACTTGCTTGGCAAGCATAAGGCTCTGAGTTCAAATCCCAGTACTACCAAATAAATGAATTCAGTTGAAACATAATATATGAATGGCAGTAAGAAAAACTGAAACTTCAAAGATAGTTTTATTGAGCACTACTATGCAAAGAAGGATAATAAAGCATTTCCTTATTGGCTTTTCACTACCCTGTTATTCTGTGTGTGTGTGTGTGCGTGTGTGTGTGTGTGTGTGTGTGTGTGTGTGTGTGTATGTGCCTGTTCAAGGCCTTGAATGCAGGGGTGGGGCACTTTCCCTGAGCTTTGTTTTATGCAAGGCTAGCCCTCTACCACTTGAGCTACAGCTCTACTTTCAGCTCTATTGGTGGTTAACTGGAGATGAGTCTCAAAGACTTTCCTGCCCAGGCTAGCTTTGAACCATGACCCTCAGATTGCAGTCTCCTGAGTAGCAAGAGTATAGGCATAAGCCACCAGTACCTAGCTTGAATCTCGCTTCCTTAGCTCATCATAATGTGTGCTGACAGCCATGTTGCTACTGTGAGTCAGTAGTTGTATTATCTTCAAATTGCAGTGTATATAAGGAAACATAGTCTCCTGTTGATGGACACTTAAGTTGCTTCCATTTTTGACTAGTATGAATAAAATTGCCTATTAAAAATATTATGTTTTTAACACACATTTATTATGCAGAATGGATTATGTTTTCTAGCAAAATCCACTTCTTTATGTTCTCTTGAGGAGATGAGGAGAGAGAATGGATTCTTGAGGCTCCACACACCATTGCAGAAAGGGCAGGAGATCATATATTTATTAGAAGCCTGCTCTGTAGCTTTGTACTTCACCTGCCTGTTGCACGAACCCTTCCTAACAACTCTAGGAGCAGGCTTTCCTGTTTTACAAAGGAGCAAACAGATATGGAAGAGTAAGGGTCTGTCCCGAGTTAGAGTTATACCCTATAAAGTGATAGGAGGTGGCAGTGAAATCCTGAAACATGGCCTTTGTCCACCTTGAGTCTCACCTATTAGGGTTGTGGTAGGGATGAGGTGATGGAGGGGGCTGTGGGTTGGTGGGTGTTGGCAATGCTGGCACGCTTCCAGCTGGCTCTGTCAGTAAGAGCCAGATAGAGCCTTCTGTATGGCACCACGCTGCCCCCTCACCATCCTTTTCCTCTATGGATGAGGGACCTTTTCTCTCCTCTCCCCATGACTCACTTTTTCCAGACTTGCTGTCTCCTTTCTGATCTGTGACTGGCACTCTGCACATCATGACAACATTCACTGAACAGGGCTGGTTTCTTGAGTCTAAGGAGTGGTGACCTCACTCTCGGCTCACCGGCCAGAGTCAGTGATGGTCACCCCAAGCTCTACCTCCTCTCATCACGGTGATAATCAAGTGCCTGATCTTCTTTGGTTCTCAGTTCTTGCCCCTACAGGAGGAACTCCTGATAGATCATTGTTTCTCCCTCCTTTCCACTCACTCCAAGGGAGTGTGGTAGAACTTATTCTTCTTTACTATGTTAAAATACATGCAATAAAAAATTGACCATTTGAATTGTTGGGTTTTTTTTGTGGTGCTGAGGTTGAACTCAGGAAGTGCTCTCCCATTGAGTCATACCTCCAAATCTCCTTTTAATCACTTTACAAATATACAGTTGAGTGATTGTACATTCACAAGGTTGTGCAATTCTCCCTGGTATCTAATTCTAGAGAACTTTTTTTTTTATCATATTATAAGCAAACTCATACCCATTAGTAGTTACCCCCCCCCCCCCCATTTTCCACTCTCCCCTCACCCCAGGCCCCATCCCCTGGGAAGCATTTCTTTCTGTCTGACAGTGCTTTGAACCCTCACTGCATACTAGGAACTGTGCTAATCTCCTTGTACATATATCTTATTAATTCTCATGAAAGCAGCTTTGTGAAGTTGGGGTTCTTCCGTTTCATAGATGAGATAACCAGAGCTCAAGAGGAAAACTTCTATGTGAAGCTACAATGCTTGTAAATGGTAGAGCTTGAATCAGAAGTCCAAGTCTGGTGCTTCCTCCAACTCCTGCGGAATGAGGACTAAGATCTGAGACATTTCCTGGGATGTGGATGACGCAACTTGGAGAGTCTTCCAAGCCCACATTATTTCCATTCTGAAAGAATATTCCTCCCATTTTACTCAGAAGGTCAGTGGGGCCTTTTGCCCCAAGAATTTCCCAAGATCTGGGATGCTGGGTTCAGGGATGTAGCTTGATGGCAAGACCTCAAACCCTGTGACTCAAGAAACTGTCGGTCACCATCACAAAGTGTGGGGAGGTTCGCAGGGAAGCAAACTAAGAAACCAAGAGACTTCACTTGTGCCACAGACTGAAAGGTCTTATGAAGGGAGAGGTCCTCATGTACCAGGGGCCTGATTTTTATTTCCTGTTTCCTTCTGGTCATAGAATTCTCTAGCCAAAAGTTCCCATGACCACGCGGGCTGACTTCCCTGTGACTGCAGAAATGAAAGAAGAAGTCATTGCATACAGAGGCCTGGGGAGTATTAGACTTAACAGAGAAATTACAACATGGCAGATAAATTTTTTTGGTTGCCTCCCCAGGGTCTACTCTTTTTTTGTACTTTTTTAATTGTAAACATACTGTACAGAGGGGTTGCAGTTTCAGGAGCAAGGTAATGAGTACATTTCTTATCAAGCATTGTTGCCTCTTTTTGTTTTTCCCCTACCATCCCTTCCCTCCCCACCTTCACAACTATCCCCACCCCCAAAGTTGTAAAGTTCGTTTTCAACATAGTGTCTTGTATACCTCATTGTTACAATGGGTCAACCTGTATCCTTATTTAAGCATGTAACATGGCATATAATCAAGGACATATTTTCC